GAGAGTGGGAGGAAGAAAGATGGGGTAAAAGAGGTGAAGAGGAGGCACTAGCAGGCCGGAAAGATGCTTGATGGTACTTTCTCTTTCTAAAATCTGAGGAAAGTTTTTTCCTTGGGGATAGTTGGTATAAGTGGAATCTACAGTTATTTCAGAGCCTCACTGGCAGACATGTTAATCATCGTTAGGACTAGGAACTTGGGAGAATAGCACAAGGGCTGTAAGTGGGGAAAGGGCAGTCCCAGGGGAGGCTGGCGGCAGGAGAGGCTCCTTTAGGGTGTTGATTGCTCCCCCATCATGGCTGGGCAGAGTCGCCCCCACCCCTGGCCAGCACCCTGGCAGAGAGTCTGGGCTGGGGATGGCACAGGTCCTGGCAGTCGTCAGGCACACCATTGGCAAAGGAGAACTTTGGCCCTGACTTCCAGTGAAGACGGCACGGTGCGGGGGTCAGGGGTGGACATTAGGTTAAGCAGTGACTGCAGTTAGAAAGGGACTAACTTGTAGCCAGAGGTTTATTTCTTTAAATCCTGTTCCATCTTTTATTCTGCATTTAAGACACAGTGAATGGATCTGTTGGTTTATGTGTAGGCACGAGTGTTGAAGGTCCCCAGTTTATTCATTAGTAAGAAGGTTGACAGAGTAATGCATGGACTCGTCTCATCTAAACAGGCCCATGGAAACTCCACATGGCATGGGGGGGTGGGCTGGGCAGGGGGCCAGGGAAGACACACAGAGGCCTATGCAAACCAGAGCCTGCACCTCAGTGTGGACGGCTGTGGCTTCTGCTTCTGCTTTAGGTCTGAAGGGAGGAATCGGGAACCAAAGAGAACCCCTGAGCTGAGCTGACTGCTCCCCAGAAATGCTGAGACACACCACAGGGACCCGTCTCAGGGCCCTGGCAATGGGCTGAGGACCCTTGTCCTAGAACTAGTAAGCAGGTCAGGGGACTGGAACCCGGGCCGCTGGGTGGTGTTCTGAATGACCACCTGCCACAGTTTATGGACCAAAGTGTATTTTGACTGTTGTTAATTCTCCGCCCCAGGCAGATGCTAAGCTCTCCACGCACAAGGCGGAAGGTGGTCCAGAAGTATGTCTGGTCTAATTAGCATGTTACGTTTTTGTTATTATAGATGTCAGGTGTATTTTTGAGCTGTAGGCATAAAACAGCGGGGTTGTTCTCAGTCCCAGAGTAAAATCCTTGCTGGCCCCTGGGGTGGAATTCAGCACCCCCGCGTCTCTCCCTGTTCCCTAGGGAGCCATAGTCCAGCTCCACTGCCCACTCATCTGTGCTCCCCGGGATCCTGGAAGTGCCTGGCCTGGGCCTGCACCAGGGGGAATGCTCACAGAGTGACCCGACTCCTCTGGCCAGGCACAAGGCTGGGACAGTGAAGTGAGTGGGTCTTGCAGCCTGGATGGAGGGCCCAGCGATTCGCAGAGGACAGGAGACAACTGCCAGGCAGCCTGGGAGGAGCTCAGAGCCCAAAGCTGGGTGCTTGGATGTGCCCATGGAGGCTGCCAAGGCCCCTGAGAGCCCTCCGCGAAGAGACAGAGCCCCTCGGGGCCACGTGGACCCAGTGCCTGTTTCTGCGCCCGGCAGCTCTGTCTCATGGAGACCAACACAAGTCCCACTTGGTGTATTTTTAAGCCATGTCCTCCATGGGAATGAAGAGAGAGAGGCGTGCTCATTTGGGGTTTGGGTTTAGCCGGCATTTGCCATCCTCCTGTTTGCCCACCAGTGTGCTCCCTGCCAGGCCTCAGAGGCGGGAGGCCATCCTCTGCCTGGCCATGGCAACCTGAGCCTCCCTGGAAATGGGCCGTCCAGGGGCTGTGGTCACCTCCCCCTCTACCTCCAGGGCTCCACCCTCTTGTGTTAGGGAGCCCTCCCTCCACTCTGGCACACAGCTGTCCCTCTGTGGACGTTATAGGTGAACTCTCATCAGGACTTTGAATTTGGCAGCCAGTAAGGGGCTTTCCCACTCTCACCCTGCCTGCGTGTGTGAACATCAGAACAGTAGTCAAACCCGGCCAGGAGGGCTCCTCACTCCTGGGTCCCCAACCAATTCTGGCCTTACAAGAACATGTTGGGCCCGGCTGGCGTGGCTCCGTGGTTGAGCGTCAACCTATGAACCAGGAGGTCACGGTTTGATACCTGGTCAGGGCACATGCCCAGGTTGTGAACTCAACCCCCCAGTGTGGGGTGTGCAAGGAGGCAGCCAATCAATGATTCTCTGTCATCATTGATGTTTCTGTCTTTCTCTCCCTCTCCATTCCTCTCTGAAATCAATAATAATAGTGAACATGTTGGTCCTCAGATACCAGAAAAGCTGTTGTAGGTAACCAGGGTTTAATTTTCTTACGTCAGAACTTGTGAATTCCTAGGAGATTGTGTATGTGCTCGGTGGGGGTGGGGTGTGTGTGTGTGTGTGTGTGTGTGTGTGTAGAAGTGGTGTGTCCACGCATGTGTGCACATGTGTGGGGCTTGATCGGCTTCAAGGTTTTCTCTTATTTCCATCTGAGTAAGTTGCAGAATTGGGAGAGGACCCTCTAAGCCCAGGGTCCAAGATGAGGGGGACAGGAAGTTGGGGAATAGGACAAAGAGTTAGGTGTGGGGACAGGAAGAGCTTAGACACATGGATTTTGCCAGTGGATGAAATGAAAGCAGTGCACCCCCCGCATCCAGCACAGAGCCTGTTCCATAGGGAGAGCCCAGCTATACTCACCAAAAGAAGGTGGGGAGGAAGGAAGGAAGATGGATAGAAGGGAGGATGGAGGAAGGATAGAAGGGAGGATGAAGGAAGGATAGAAGGGTGGATGGAGGAAGGGTAGAAGAAAGGGCTGCTGAGTGACAACCTTCTCTTATGTCTGAGCTCCTTGGAGAACTGCAGGGAAATGGGCTGTCCCTTCCCACAGCCCCATCTCTGGAAGCCTTCGTGTCCAGTCCTCTCTGTTCTCACACCCCTCTCCTTTCTCTGTCCCTCTCTTTTAGGGCTTTGAAGACCCCAAGGACAAGTGAGTGACGTGCCCTTCATGATTCCTGGGGCATACCTTCAGATCTGCCTCATAGCTTTGTTTCCTCACGCTCCATGGGGAAGGAGCCCACACGCAGTCTTGGCTGAGTGTCCGGAGCCCATGGCAGATAAGATATGGCCATCCCGGGCCATCCAGCAGAGAGGCTGGGCCCTGGCATTGCCCATATTCAGTCTCCACTCCATGCACACACACGTGTGCACACACAAAACTACATGTGTGCACACTCTGCACATGCATGTGTACATACACATACATGCATGTGCAGCTCACAGGAAAGTATAGGCCTGCCACAGTGGTCACACACAGTGCCTGGCCACATCCCAGTGCCCTGAGGGAATGTCACTTCCCAGTTCTCAGGGGCTGTCAGAAATTCCACGTCATTTTAGTTCAGCATCCAAAGATCATGCAGCCTTCCCAGGGAGTGCCTGAGCCAGGTTAGAGCACCAGGTGGCCACAGTCCCTGGGTAGAAGTCTCACCTCTTGGTCTCGGCTTTCATTTCGGAATGATGGTACAGCCAGAAAGGACAGAGCAGAGACTGTTACCTGTGGGGAGAAAACAATTAAACCTTCCATAGTAACTCATCTATCTATCTATCTATCTATCTATCTATCTATCTATCTACACACACACACACACACATATACATACATATATACATATATACATATATACATATATACATATATATATAAAAGCTTAAGTGACTGTTACTATGGAATGACCAGAATGACTGGACGACTGGTCGCTATGACGCACACTCACTGCCAGGGGGCAAAAGCTGCCCCAGCCCGCAGGCCCCAAACACTGATGGGGCCTGCCAGCCAACCTCTTGGCTCCTCGCCCTGGCCAGCAGGCCTCAATCACCTGAATGGGGCCGGGTCCCCGGGCTGGGACGGGAAACCGGGAGTGGGTGGCAGCGTGCGGGCAGTGAGGGAAGGAGGAGGTAGGGAGGTGTGGAGGCAGAGAACTTGATTGGCCCTGATCACCGGCCAGGCCTAGGGACCCCACCTGTGCATGAATTTTGTGCACTGGGCCTCTAGTCTTATGATAACGTACTAATACATCAATAGAGTCAGAAAAGCCAGCAGATCTGAGACTTAGGCAGTTTTCTACCCATGTGTGCAGGTGTCAGGAGGGGGTCCTGGCCTCAGTCTCATCTTCCCCACATCTTATTAGGGCTGATCTGGGTATCTCTCCTGGATCCCCCAGCACAGGCAGAGCCACCGGTTAGCAGCACCCCCTGGTGGTCAGCCTGCCTGGTGTCTGCCCTCTTTGCCCAGGAAAGTGCAAACCCCGAAGATGAAGTGGACGAGTTTCTGGGCCGTGCCATTGACGCCAGGAGCATTGACAGGCTGCGGTCTGAGCATGTTCGCAAGTTCCTCTTGACCTTCAGGGAGCCTGACTTAGAGAAGAAGGTAGGCAGCCTGAATGGGAAGCAGGCTCCGTGCAGAACCAGAGCCAGGGGGAGGGAAACAAGGCAATGGCTGGCTCCCTCCGTCTCCATCACTGTTGGAAAAGCACTTCTCATCCCCTCTGCTTCCCCAGCTCTGATGCTGCACTACCCAGGAGCTGCAGATGTTAGGGTGACCTCCTTGTTTGGCAGGAATAAACTTTAACCTCCTGGGCCTCATTCCTTAGCCGGGAAATGGAGATATTTAGCATACTTACCTCAAAGGGTCATACTGAGGATTACACAAGTCCATATATTTAAAACACATACAACAGTATCTGCCACATCGTATGTGTTCAATAAATGTTGGCCTATTTGTATTAGTTTTGTTGTGCTGTTATCATTATCATTGCCAATGGACCACTGAGCCACACTGAACCTCAAGTATTGAAATTGGAAAGAGCAGTCAGTCTCCTTAAATCATGACTGAGAGAGCTAAAGCTCACCCAGTTGCGCTAGTAGGTGTGCCCTGGGTCACCTGGTGAGGTAGTGACAGGGCCAGAACCAGTCCCAGGCTCAGGGTCTTTGCTCCATGTCACCGCGTCTTCCTGATGCTCGGTTAAAATGAGCTCATGGGAACTCCTGTTGTCATCGAGTAAAGCAACCCTAAGTAGGAGGGAAAGGGAGAGGAGGGAACGTACTCTGTCTACTAGCGCCTATGGACGGACATGGATCACCTTCTCTGGGGACTCGGTGCCAGCCCAGCCTCTGCTCGAGCAGCTGGTTGGTGTTGGGGGAGCTGGGGCTGGGGGTCAGGACCCCGGGGATGAGCTGTGTGATTTTGGACAAGTCCTGTGACCACTGAGCCCCATCTTACTCCTCTCTGAAACAGCAGCGGTCCTGTGCCTACTTCCTAGTGTGCTTGCCAGGTGCGCGATGATGCGTGTCCTATCATGTAGAGACGGTGCTGGGTAACTTTAGCCGTGATCATTATGAACTACTCCCACGGTGATCTGGCCTGTGGGAAGTTTCTGGTTCGACACAGTTCAACTCCTCTCCCCACAAGCATCCCCTTATGGTGATTTGGGCTGGTTTCCCAAGAGCTCGGGCTCGCACTGGCTCTCGGGTCTTCCAATCCTGGGACCAGGCTGCCTGGTGTGTCGGGGACGGAGCGGGGCTGGAGCGGACAGGCTGGTGCCTCTGGCCCTCACTCTGCCGTGTCCTCTCAGTACTCCAAGCAGGTGGACGACCGATTCGGTGCCTACGTGGCGTGCGCCTCGCTCGTCTTCCTCTTCATCTGCTTTGTCCAGATCACCATCGTGCCCCAGTGAGTACCCACCCTCCTCGGTCTCCTCCTCTGGGTACAGGGTCTCCAGGGTTTGAGGGGAGGTCATGTAGTGGAGCAGAGGTGGGAATCTGGGCTGAACTTCTCAACAGGGAGAGAAGTTTGCAAACATGTCCTTGATGGCCCGGGAAGCCGGGAGCCTGACTCCTGTGTCACTGGGAGGCCACGTGCTCATTCGAGGGCGGAAACCTCTCCCTGGGCACTGCCCCGCCTTATGGGGTCTCCACACCACGGTGCCCACTGAATCACCCAGATTGGCCAGGCTCCTTTCCGCGTGGCCTTTGGTTTTTGCAAAAAAAAAGCAACACATCTTTCAAAGATAAAGGGTATTTGCTACGCTGGGTAATTTGAAGAATGGACTTTAGGCTCTGAAAGCTTTCTCAGAGACATGCTCCTGAACTCTGAGGACTGGCTGTGTCACTAAGAGGCCCAAGAGTGGCCACTGCACTAAGTGGCTTCCTAGGGGACCACTCTGAGTGGCAGTGGGATTTTAGGAATGATGTTAGTCATTCACAGCAGGGTCGTGCCTAGGCAAGAAAATAAACTGCTCCACATTTTAAACTTTTTATTATGCAATATTTCAAACATGCAGAAAGGTAAAGTAATTAATATAATTATTACCCATCCCCTAGACCAGCGGTCCTCAACCTGTGGGTCGTGACCCCTTTGGGGGTCAAACAAACCTTTTACAGGGGTCGCCTAAGACCATCGGAAAACACATATATCATTATATATTGTTTTTGTGGTTAATCACTATGCTTTAATTATGTTCAATTTGTAACAATGAAAATACACCCTGCATATGAGATATTTACATTACGATTCATAACAGTAGCAAAATTACAGTTATGAAGTAGCAACGAAAATAATTTTATGGTTGGGGGTCACCACAACATGAGGAACTGTATTAAAGGGTCGTGGCATTAGGAAGGTTGAGAACCACTGCCCTAGACATAATAATTGTTAATATTTTACATTTTTTCTGTTACTTTTTATTTTTAAAATATATATTTTTAAATTGCTTATTTAGAGAGTGAGGAAGGGAGTAGGAGGGAAGGAGAGAGAAAGAGAGAGAGGGTTCGGAGGGAGGGGGAGAGAGAGAGAGAGACAGAGAGAGAGAGAGAGAGAGAGAGAGAGAGAAACATCGATCAGCTGCTTCCCGCACTCACCCAACCAGGAATCGAGCCTGCAACCTGGGTAGGCGCTCTGACTGGGAATCAAATTGGCGACCTTCCCATGCATGAGTCAATGCTCAACCAACTGAGCCATACCTGCTAGAGCTTTTCTGCTTTTTTTGTTTTGTTTTTTAAAGTAAATTTTAAGCACAAGGACATTTTGCCCCTGAAAACCTCAATATACACCTATTTTAAGGGCATTTTCCTTCTTAACCACATTGCCTTATACACCAAACAAAATTAACACCATTTCTCTACCATGAACATCTAATACCATGTTCAGGTTCAGATTTCCAAAATGTCTTCTACGGTTAGTTTATTCACAGCCAGGATCTACTCAGGACCCACTGGTTGCCTTTGGTTATGTCTCCGAAGTCCAACTTAATCTAGAAGAGTCCTCTCACCTGAACGCCTTCTGTTCTTCATTTTGAAATAATTGTAAACTCGGAAAAGTTACAAAAATACTACGGAGCATTTCTTTACATCCTTTATCCAGGTTCCCTAATGCTGACAACTTACATAACCTAAGTAGAATAGTCCAACCCAGGAACTGAACACTGCAATGATACTCTTAACTGTACAGACCATATTCTAATTTCATCAGGGTGCCCGCGAATAGCCTCTTTGTGGCCCAAGAGCCAGTCCAGGACCCCACACTGCAGCCCGCTGTATCTGCTTAGTCCCCCCGAATCTGTGAGGCTGTCTCAGCCTTTTCATGTCCTTCACGGCCGTGGCCCTTTTGATGAGCACTGGCCAGTGAATGTGTAGACTGTCTCTCCGTTTGGGTTTGCCTGATGTTGTCTCACGATCACATTGAGGTTATGCTTTTTGACAAGAGCCCACAGCAGCGATGCCCTCAGTGCCTCCTGACAGGAGGTATGGGATGTCTACATGTCTCCCTACTCAACGCCTTTTATTTCTAATGGCACTTTCTGCTGAAGAGCTGGCTCTCACCTTTTACTGACTCTGTCAGGATTCCGCAGCTGAGAACCAGACCCTGGCAGCAGCTGCTCCTGGAGGCCCAGCATGGAGGTGTGCAGAGCTGCTGAGGCTATGGGTTCTCTGGGCATAGGACTCCATTTTTTCTGAATTGAAGGGAGCTACAGGTGTAAATAAGCAACCTAGACTTTCTGTCCCATTGCAAATAAAAGCCGCCTACATTTGGCTGCTCAGTCCTGCAGCTCGGCTTGGGCGGGCAGATGCAGGGTAGGGGGGGTGTTATCCCAACACCCTGCCTGCCTCCAGCTGCTTGGTTCCCTCCTCAGGCTGTAGCACCAGGTTGCCAAGGCATCAAGGGAGGTCATTCTCTAGAGTCCCCTCTCTGTAGAAGCTAAAAGCTACTTTAAAAGTCTTTCTTTCGCTCGGAAGAGAGTTCTCTCCCCTGTTTAGAGCAGCTAAGTGCTGGCTTCCGGAGGAGCCTGGAACAGAGACCTCACTTGAACGCCTCCCTAGAGGCCTCCCCTGTCTCCTCAAGCCCATCACTTGCCTTCAACCTGCCAACACGCCTGGCATCCCCGGGCCACTGCCCTCCCTGAGAGAGAAGGGATTTCAGTGACCTCCCTCCTGTGATGGGGTGGGGTGTGCCTCTCCTCGGCCAGCCCCTGCCCCAGGAGCGCCAGTGGAAGGTTCCAGATGCAAAGTCACTTGCAGCTCTTGTCTGAGGATTCTGGTCTGCGGTGGACGTTAGGTCACCTGTGCTCTGCCTCAGTTTTTGTTGAACTGGTTGGGAATCGGAGAGCACAAATGGAGCAGGCCTTGGGGGCCTTGGCAGTGGGAGGGGACAGGGTTTAGGGGCTCTGCCCTTTGAAGGGACATGACTGCTGTTTCTGAGTGACTGGTTGAGCAGCTTGACAAATGCATTTCTATAAAGATGGCTGTTTATCAAATCAGTTTCAGCCTTCGTACTTATCAAGCAAGCCATGGGTGGCTGCTTAGAGGCAGGGAATAACCAAGTGATTTTTAAAAAATATATTTTTATTGATTTCAGAGAGGAAGGGAGAGGGTGAGAGAGATAGAAACATCAATGATGAGAGAGAATCATTGATCTGCTGCCTCCTGCACGCCTCCCACTGGGGATCGAGACCCTGACCGGACTCGAACCCAGAACCCTTCAGGTCATAAGGCTGATGCTCTATCCACTGAGACAAACCAGCCAGGGCCCAAGTGATTTTTAAGATGAGTCCTTCCAAGGAAATGAAGGGAGTGTGTGGGTACTTAAGGTAAATGGAGGAAGTGTGTGGATAGCTAAGAATTAGGCAAAGTGCTGAGCAGGTTTCTCCCGGTTCTCCACCTGGCGCCCTGTGGCTGCTGCTCCGTAAGAAGGCGTGGGAGTGTGGGAAGGGCAGGAGCCAGGCTGTCACGGAGGAGGGTCCTGGATGGGTTCACAAGGCTATGTGAGCCCTTCTGAGTGAGTCAGGCTAGGGAAGCCTGGGCGGTGGGAGCAGGGGAAATGGAGCCCCTTCTTCTTCCTTCCCGGGGGCACTCAGAGCCCCAGCCCCAGAACTGTGAGGAAGGCGCTGCAGCTGGCTTGCGGGTTAGCCCGCCAGAAGCTGTCGCCCGCCTCCTGGACAGGACTGCACTTCCATCCCATCATCTCTCTCTCCTTCAGCTCTGTGTTCATGCTGAGCTTCTACCTGACCTGTTTCGTGCTGCTGACCTTGGTGGTATTTGTGTCCGTGATCTACTCCTGCGTGAAGGTGAGTCTGGCTGGCACCTGAGCCGCACCCCCTTCCTCGCCTCCATCTTCCCTTCCGTCCCAGCCCACTGATGGGCCCTCCCAGCAGTCTAATGGCCCCACTCGGGATCGGGGTGTGTGGTGCGGGGTCACAGCTCTCGGCTGGCCCGGGCCGCAGGCTGGACTGAGGGGGTGGTCGGTCCGTGGAGTCTCGTTTGTATTGACCGTGCAATCAGCCTTCATAGATCTTTGCAACAAGAAGATGGTGTCGCCCCCTCTCTTGTCTGTCCCTCGGTGTCCGGCGGGTGGGGGAAGGGCACCTAGCACAGTGCCTGGCATGAAGCAGTGGTCAGATATTTGCTGAAAGGATGGGTGTGGAAGGGACCTCTCACCATCCCCCTCAGGGTCTCCGTGGGCCCTGGAATGGGCCCCGGAGGGGACCGAAGAGATGATGGCTTTGGAGTTGCTCATTGTATGGACAAGGAGGAGGCACAGAGTGGTTCGTGGTTCAGTCAGGGCCACACAGCAGGTAACGTGGGCACGAGGCCCTGTCCTGTGTTTCCCTCTCACGCCTTCTCTGGGGCGTGCTGTGCCCACCAGCCAGCTGTGTCCTGGGAGGGACCTGGCCACAGGCTGTTCGGGTCCATTGTAGCAGGTACAGGTTCCCGTTTGCCTTACCCACCAAGTCTGGCCCTCCTTTCCTTTCCAGTGGACTCAGAATTCCCTGGGGGAGGGGCCAGCCGGTCCCAGAGAGCCCTCTGTGCCCAGGCAGGGACCAGCCCCTCCAGCTTCTGCCTGGGCCACTTCTCTGCTCCTCCTGACACTCACTCGGAGCCACACCCCTGGGCTGGGGTGGGGTGGGCCAGGCCCTGCCATCACCCCTGCACACTCCTCAGCGGGCACATGTCCTTCTTCCGGAAGGGGTCCTTCATGAGGGTGTTAACTGTTTCATCACCTGATAGCATGGTCTTGGTGGACTGACTGTCAGAACCAGAGGCCTTGGGAATGATCTGGTGTGGTGCAGCCCTCCCTGAGCAGGTGGCCCTGAGCAGGTGCCCATGGAGATGCCCCTGAAGTGGATGCCCAGGGAGGTGCAGGCAGGCTGGGTCACTTGGCACGTGGAGCCATGTTGGAAGCCGGTGGCTTCGCTGCATCACAGGCTCATCCTGGTTCCTTGTCCTTCCACTGGTTCTCCCTCAAGGCTCTGTGTTCTGTCACCTCCTGCCTTGGGTCCTCTCTTTCATTGTCAAGCCTTCCCCACCCTCAGCCTGCTAGTTCCCCAGTGGGAGACCCACTTTCTTCATCTCACAGCTGTAAGAGCATACCACATACTCACAGGAGGCAAAAGGTGGAGACAGCCCCGTGCCCATCAGCAAATGTACAGGTAAGCCGAGTGGTATATGTGTACAATAGAACATTACCTGTCCATAGAAAGCAGTGATGTTCTGACACATGCTACAACATGGCTGAACCTTGTGGACATCATGCTGAGAGAAGCCAGACACAAAAGAACATACATTGTATGATTCCACTTATATGAAATATCTAGAATAGGCAAATTCATAGAGACAGGAAGTAGATTACAGGACACCGGGGGTCGGAAGGAGGGGATGGGGAGTTACTGGCCAGTGGTACAGTTTCTGTGTGGGGTGATGAAGGGGTTTTGGAAAGAGATGGCAGTGGTGACTGCCCAACATGCTGCATGTAATTAATGCCACTGAATCGTGCACTTAAGATGACTAACATGGCACATTTTATGTCATTTATATCCTACCACAATAAAAAGTCAAAACAACCTTTAAAAAAAAGTACATGGTAGCTAAAAGGGCCTCTTAAACATTTGTTCTGAACCCCAAAAGGATCTTTTCTCTTTATCAGCTGAGACAAAGTCATTGTTTGAGGCACGTGTGTAGTCTATGGAAGCCAGACCAAAGCTACCTGTGGTCTACAGCACTTAAACCACAAGAGATTTCCCTCTTTCCTCCTAGCTGCTTGGGTAGATCTGGGCTACACGGATTTCACTGGATCTGTGTTCCCCATCTGCATGTGCCTCTGATGGTGCTGGAGGAGGAGGAATTACGGGAGGAGGAAAAGAGGGGAGCCCATTTGTATCCGCACCACCCCCACTTCCCAGCCCTCCTTCTCCCCCGCCTGCACTGGCCATTTTGAGTTAGTGCTTTGGTCTAGTGAATTCTTTTCACCTCTGTTCACGGTT